GCCCCCGACCCCTTCGGCTCTCCAGGACCAGGTTCGGCCGCCCACGGACTCCCAACTCAGTATCCCCGGCCCAGGAGACATCCGGAGATGCGGGGCGAGACGCGGGATCGGTTGGCACCACTCCCCTCGGAGGGGGCGGCGGCTCGGGAGGCTCGCCTGGCGGAGAGGCCCCCGCCGGCGGCGCCCCAAGCTCGCCGGGCCCCTCCGCCTCGAAGTCCACGGGGATCTCCGGGTCGTCGCACGCAAACGAGTCTCACCCGCACTGCGCCCCCGTGGCCTGGAGGCTGCACCTGTTCCCGGCGTCGACCAGCGGCTCGCCGCCGAAGCGCCCGGTCGCCATGGCAGCCCGCCGCCAGGCGAACTGGCTTTGGAAGATGGAAAGGGGCGCGGTGTAAAGGGGTGTGGTGTGGACGCCCTGCATGCCCGAAGAAACAAAGATATGGGCGACCTCAGTGCGCTGCCATCTGCGACACACGCGGCCGAATCCAGTGGCGGGCCCGGCTGCCTCCCCCCGCCCTCGCCGGCCCGGCGAGGGCACGCGTGGCCAGCAACGCTGCGCGCAGCGGGCGGCCGCCGCTGCCGCGCAGCGGCGGGCCGCTCTTCGACGCACCGCGGCGGCGGCTCGCGGGGGCTGCGCGCCCGCCACCCCGCAGCCGGGCGCCTCGCTGCGCGGCAGCGCGCGGCCGGCGCCCGCCTCCAGGGTGGGCCTCGGAGGGCCCTGGCCTCGGGCCAGCTGAGGCCGGCCCCCCAGCTTGACCCAGCAAGGCTCGAGCCCCCAATGGGGCAGCGGGAGAGAGCGAAAGAGAGAGAGAGAGAGAGCAAGAGAGAGAGAGAGAACAAAAAAAGAGCGAGGGAGAGAGAGAGAGAGAGAGACGGAAAGAGAGAGAGAGAGAGAGCAGAGGCACAGGCAGAGGCAGAGGCAGAGAGGGAGCCCACAAATCTCTGGGGACCGGGAGAGCCTGGCGCTCACACGGGACAGCTGCACGGCGCCGCCCGCAGGCGGCGCCCCCAGAGGCGAGGGCGGGGCTCCTACGCGGCGGGAGCGGCACGGCACCCCGAGCTGCGGCGCACTGCCTGGCGAGGACGACGCCGCTCCCGTGGCAGGGGCCAAGACCACGGCCCACATCATACCCCGAGCTGCGGCGCACTGCCTGGCGAGGACGACGCCACTCCCGTGGCAGGGGCCAAGACCACGGCCCACATCATGCCCTGCGCCACCGCCAGCGGCGGCCCGCGCAGCGCTCCGCTCGGCAGCGGTCGCGGCGACGGCGGCGCAGCGGACCCCGACCTGCAGCGCCTCGGGGCCCCGCGGCGGGCCCGTCCCCGCCAAGCGCGCCGCAGCGGAGGCGGCCCCAGCGCAGGAAGGGGCCGGGAGCCAGAGCGCGAGGGCGAGGCGGGGCCCTTGGACTGCGCCACGGCGGGGTGCCGAGCTCGCGGACCACGGCGGGGCATGAGGAAGCGGCGCGGAACTCCCCCTTCAGGGCCGCAACAGCTTCGCTGGGCCGCCGCGCGCCAACCGACTCGACCTTGCCCGGGGCCGCACCGGCCGCCGCCCGAAGAGGCGGAGGAGGCACCGCGCGAATCAAGTCGTCCGAGGCCGCCGAACGAGCAGCATCCCCGCCCCGCCCAACTTCGGCAGCCGGCGAGAAGCCAGGTGTGGGGGGGGGGGGCGACAGCCCACTTCAGCGAGGCCTGGCGGCGAGATGGGTTCCTCCTCCTCCTCCTCCTCCTCCTCCTCCTCCTCCTCCTCCTCCTCCCTCCTCCTCCTCCCTCCTCCTCCTCCTCCTCCTCCTCCTCCTCCTCCTCCTCCTCCTCCTCCTCCTCCTCCTCCTCCTCCTCCTCCTCCTCCTCCTCCTCCTCCTCCTCTATCTGTTATCCTGATACATTCGCCGGCCCAACGGGCCAGAGGCGTGCTAAGATCTCCAGCTAAACTGGTAAACAATATTTCTAGTTCGCGCGCGCGGGGCGGCCCCTGGGGGTCCCCGGACGAAAAGTACCCCGGCCGGTACTACCCAGAGATGCGTGTGCCTTCTGGGCGCGGCTTTCAGGCGCCCCCAAGCGCTCCTACAGGGCCCCAACAGTCCCCAAGACGGTCCAAGAGGGCTCCGAGTCGCTGTTAGATTGGTCCGAGGCGCGCAAGATAGCCTCCAGACGGCCGCAGACGCTGCCAAGACGCCCAAAGAGGCCTCGAAGAAGCGTCTCAAGAGGGCTCCAGGAGGCAAACACCATCGATTTCCCTTCCGTGTTTGAAGGGTTGTGCCGTTCTCATCTGTTCGGCTTCCCGACGCTCCAAGACTGCCCAAGAGGCCCCACATATCGCCCCAAGACGGCCCAAGAGGCCTTCAAGAGAGCTCCAAGAGGGTCCAAGAGGGCCCCAAGACGGCCAAAGAGGCCTCCTAGACGGCCCAAGATATCCCCAGGACGGCCCCAAGAGGAGGCCAGACGGGGAACCCGAACGGACATTTCGAGCCCTCGGCCCCAAGAGGCTCCCAAGACGCCCAAAAAGGCCTCGAAGAAGCGTCTCAAGTAAGCTCCAGGAGGCAAAAACCATCGAGTCGCCTTTGGATTTTGAAGGATGTTGGCGTTCTCATCTGTTCGGCTTCCCGACGCTCAAGGACGGTCCAAGAGGCCCCACATATCGCCCCAAGACAGCCCAAGAGGCCCCCAAGAGAGCCCCAAGAGGGCCAAGAGGGCCCCAAGACGGCCAAAGAGGCCTCCTAGACGGCCCAAGATATCTCCAGGACGGCCCAAAGAGGAGGCCAGACGGGGAACCCGAACGGACATTTCGAGCCCTCAGTCCCAAGAGGCTCCCAAGACGCCCAAAGAGGCTGCGAAGAAGCGTCTCAAGAGGGCTCGAGGAGACAACAACAATTGATTTCCCTCCGGTTTTTGACGGACTTTGCAGTTCTCATCTGTTCGGCTTCCTGGCGCTCAAGGACGGTCCAAGAGGCCCAACATATCGCCCCAAGACGGCCCAAGAAGCCTCCAAGAGAGCCCCAAGAGGGCCAAAGGGGGCCCCAAGACGGCCCAAGAGGCCTCCAAGACGGCCCAAGAATCCCCAGGACGGCCCCAAGAGGAGGCCAGACGGGGAACCCGAACGGACATTTCGAGCCCTCGGCCCCACAAGGCGCCCAGGATGCCCCAAGAAGCCCCCACGAGCCCCCCAAGAGGCTCCAAGAGGCCCCCAAGAGGCCCCCACAGAGGCTCCCAAGACTCTCAACAGGCCTCGAGGAAGCCCCAAGAGGCCCCCAAGAAGCCCCCAAGAGGCTCCTCAGAGGCTCCCTCCGAAGAGACCCCAAGAAGCATCCATGAGGACTTCGACCCACAACCCAAGTACGTCTCGAAACTCTTCTAGAGCTCTCTTGAGCCATCTCGGCGCCCTCTGGGACAGTCTAACGGCTCTCTTCGACAGGGTGCGAGCCACATCTCCAAAGATCTCCTCGAAGATCGTACTGCCACCCCCCTGGGCACGAGCACACCACCACGCAGCCACACTGATGCGGAGTGGGCCGGCGGAGTGAGCGAAGCGACAAGACAACTCCCCCCTGCCGCGCCACCGGACGTGACAGTGGACCGGGCCGGTCGTTTCGCCTGAGACCTCCTCGGCAATTACAGCCTGAAATTCCCAACGGCTTTACGGAAGGAGGGCGGGTCCTTTTCAAACTGCGGCTCTCGCCTCTGAAGGGGGCCCTTGTTCAGTCTTCTGCCTGCCCAGATGTTTGTTCCCAACCATCCTCCTCGTTTTGCAGAGACAGCGCCCCGCGTCTCCTTCCCGCCCGCTGCTCTTCTCTCCTCCTCCTCATCCTCCTCCTCCTCCTCCTCCTCCTCCTCCTCCTCCTCCTCCCCCTCCTCCTCCTCCTCCTCCTCCTCCTCCTCCTCCTCCTCCTCCCCCTCCTCCTCCTCCCCCTCCAGGTGCCTGCGTCTTGAGAGGGGTGTTTGCTGTTCTCCACGGATGGAGGGCCGGGTCCGTCTCGAAGCGTGGCGCTCGCCTCGGGGCCACCCACTCGCCATCGCTCGGACGTCCATGCCCTGTGTTCTGTTTCGGCTTCGTGCGTGGCTGCTTCGCCAAAGGATCAAGGATGCTCCTCGATGGCCCCCGCCGAGGAAAAAACGCGCACGCCCGAGCGATGCCAAGCCCACACGTGTCCGAAAGGTGTGCCACAGGTTCACGGATGGATTGGCGGGTCGTTTACCACACGGGGCTCTTGCCGCAGCGCCGCGGAAAAATTCGTCTCCGAAGCGGCTGCACCCGATTCGCCGACGGAGGACGGGCCGTCCTCGAAGTGTGGCTCTCGCCTTTTAGTGACGCGCACATACGTCTGACGTAAAAGGTTGCCGCAGGTTCAAGGATTAGTGTGGTCGAAGGCCCAGGAATGGCTTGATGGCGCGATTTGGAGCTGTCGGGACGCAAATCTGCTCGCTGTGAAGTCCCAGGACTTGCGACCCGGCACGACTGATGACTGTCAGAACGCAACAGTCACTTTCATCCGCGGAGCTGAAGTCCCAGGAACTGTGTTCTGGTTCGGTACATGATTATTAAGCCGTTGTCCTTCCGTGGGCCACTTGCCGCTATAAAGGTAAGTATTTTAGAGATCTATGATGAGGGAACTTGGCGGGAAGGTGGATTGGTTTGTTGCAGAATCGTTGACGCGTCTAGGTGTATTGCAGAATCGTTGATGCGTCTTGGGTGTAGACTGGTCCTCCTCCTCCTCCTCTTCCTCCTCCTCCTCTTCCACATCTTCCACCTCACCCTCCCCCCTCCCCTCCCGCAATCCCTCCGTCTCCACCTACCTACGCTTCTCCTTATCCTCCTTTCCTCCTTTCCTCCTCCTCCTCCTCCTCCTCCTCCTCCTCCTCCTCCTCCTCGTCATCGTCAGCAGCAGCCGCAGCATCATCATCTGAATGATCATCAGCGTCATCGTCAGCAGCATCAACATCAACACCGTCATCACCATCCACATCGTCCTTCCCTTCATCTCATCGTCCAGGCACCCGACCACCTGCATGGAACTCACCATCACCCTCAGGAATGAATGGCATGGTGGGCGCAGGCGTTGGCGGCGAAGTAGGCGCAAACGTTGATGGGGTAAGGACTTCTTTGGCCGTGGGCGTGCAAGTCTCGGTCCCCTCGTGAGCGAAGAACCTGGACGTCCCGGACATGACAAAGTTGCGGCCCCACTCCTGAACGTACTCTGGAGGATGGTAAGTCAGTACCCTGTACCCGACCTCGAACTCGCTCGTGTTGTCAAACTCGGCCATGAAGCACCGCTTCGCCTGGTCAACCGGAACGGCATTCTCGTCTGGACAGGTGATGTTGATCAACTCGTTCGGGCCCGTCGGGTTGTCGCAGCCGTGGCCAAACATCTGCGAGGTTGCCTTGATCCCAAACTTGCTACCTGTGCTGGACACGAACTTCCGGGCGGTTCTGCCCGAAATTAACGTTGGGATCGACTCTGTGGTGTAGGTCAATGGAACGGGATTTTCGTTGAAAGCACTTCCAAGCTCGTACAGCTCCAGAGCGTAATCGATGGCACCATCGACCGTGTAGAGAGCGCTGACGCCGTCTAGCATCAGGATCTCATTCTCTCCATCTACGAAGTGGTCGATGTCGCAGAAGGTGATCTTCGGGCGGACTGGCACAAGAGGACAGAAGGTGTGGTTCCTCACAAACTCCGCCTTGATAGTTGTAGTCTGACCAACCAGAGTGTTCACAATCGCCTGGGCTCCAAAAACTGTGTTCCAAGTAGTGTTCCTCGGGGTATAAGTGCTTATGTTGGTAAAGACTAGATCGTAGAAGACACCATTTGGAAGGCGCCCGACTCCATAGTATCGAAGCTCCTTGGGCTTATCCAAGTCTGGACCCAGTCCGCCAAGATTTGAATGCGGATTTCTCACACCCCAGCTATTTAGAGTTGTAAACTCCACCCAATCCTCACACACGTCGGGCCGATCGTATGGCTCTTCCGCGGGGCACTCTTCTGGGCACACGCAGCACATCTCTCCAGATGTGAAATCATCATCGTCGTAGTACGGGTCGAAGCAAATTCCAGAAAACGGATTTTCGGCATCATGCGTATAGACTTCACACCCGTTGCCGAGTCTGTTTGTAGCCCCATTGGCAGGATCTACGCATGGCGCAGGTGTTGGTGGGGCGGCGATACCCCCACTCACGCTGGTGATCCCCCCACTAACGCCAGTGACTCCCTCATCAACGCCGGTGATCCCCACACTGGCACCCGCGGTGGCGAGGTCCTGAGCGGAGAGGACCTCGCTGGCAGTGGGCGTGCAAGTATTGCTCCCCTCGTGGGCGAAGAACCTGGACGTCCCCGACATGGCGAAGTTACGACCCCACTCCTGAACGTGGCCGGGAGGATGATAGGTCAGGATCTTGAACCCGACCTCGAACTCGCTCGTGTCAGAGAACTCTGCCATGAAACATCGCTTCGCCTGGTCAACGGGGACGGCATTCTCGTCTGGACAAGTGATGTTGGTCAATTCGTTCGAGTCCGTCGGGTTGTCGCAGCCGTGGCCAAACATCTGCGAGGTTGCCTTGACCCCAAACTTGCCACCTGTGCTGGACACGAACTTCCGGGCGGTTCTACCCGGAACCTGCGTTGGGATTGACTCTGTTGTGTAGGCCACTGGAAGCGGATTTTCGTTGAAAACACTTCCAGGCTCATACACTTCCAACATGTAGTCGACGTCACCATCGACTGTGTAGAGAGCGCTGACGCCGTCGAGCATCAAGATCTCATTCTCTCCATTCACGAAATGGTCGATGTCGCAGAACGTGATCTTTGGGAGGACCGGCACAATAGGACAGAAGGTATGGTTCCTCACAAACTCCGCCTTGACAGTCGTAGTCTCACCGACTAGGGTATTCAAAATCGCCTGAGAACCAAGAATCGTGTTCCAATTGGTATTCTTCGGGACATAAGTGCTTGTGTTGGTAAAGACTAGATCGTAGAAGACCCCATCTGGAAGGCGCCCGACTCCATAATACCTTATCTCCTTCGGCTTGTCTCCGTCCGGACCCAGCCCACCAAGATTTGAATGAGGGTTCCTCACGCCAACAGTGTTGTGAATCGAAAACTCGATCCAATCCTCGCAGTCGCTCGGGCGATCGTAAGGTTCTTCTGTGGGGCACTCCTCTGGGCACACGCAGCACATCTTCCCAGATGAGAAGTCATCGTCGTCGTAATAGGGATCGAAGCAGATCCCAGAAAACGGGTTCTCGGCATCGTGCGTGTAGACGTCACACCCCTTGCCGAATCTGTTCGTGGCCCCATTGGCAGTGTCGACGCACGGTGTCGGTGCGGAAACGGGGGGCCAGTTTTCCGGGGGCGTGGCCACCGCAGGCCAGCTCTCCGGGGGCAGGGCTGCCGGAGGCAAGCCTGCCGGGGGCAGGGCCGCCGGGGCCATGCCCGGCGGGGGCAAGCCTGCCGCGGGCAGGCCTGCCGCGGGCCAGGCTGCTGCGGGCATGCCCGACGGGGGCGAGGCTGCCGCGGGCATACCCGACGGGGGCAACGCTGCCGCGGGCATGCCGCTTGGAGGGGGCATGGCTGCCGCAGGCATGCCCGACGGGGGCATGACCGGAGGAGTTCGCTGGCGGGAACCGCGCGGACTACGCACACCTATGGTACGGCGCTGCACTTCGTTCGCCACTTCCATCGAGGCCTGCATCATGAACACGTCGAAGTGTCCAATACAGTCACGCGCCTGTGGTTCGCGTGTGCCCGTGGACAACCTGACACCTGCAGAGCAGGTGATCGTGGCATAACCTGAGAGTATCAAGACGTGTGCCGCCGCGTGTCGTGCTCGGCACTGCGTAGACGAACGAGTCGAAAGGCGAGACCTCATGCTCCGTGGGGCGTCGCCTGGATTCCCCTGGGGCAACGCAGAGAACATGCAGTAAAGTAAACGTACGAGTACGGCGTGTAAAGAAGTGATTCAGGAGCTCATTTGAACTGAGCCAGAGTAGCTACGGCGGGGCAGGAGAGGAGAAGGGAAAGGAGGCGGAAGAGAAAGGGGGGAGGAGGGCGGAGGAAGGGAAACCGAGAGAGAGAGAGAGCACAGAGGCAGCAGGGAGGAGAGTGGATCAGGAAGAGACGCGTGGCAAGAGGATGGAGGAAAGTGCAGGGAGCAGGGAGGATAGAGAGTAATGGAGGAAGAGGAGGACGATGAAGTGATTGAGGCGAGTGCGGGCCGGCTGTCAACCTTCTCCACCTCATCATCATACTCTCTCCGCCACCCTCATCATGATCACCGTCGTCATCGTCATCATCGTCATCATCCTCATCGTCATGACCATCAGCATCAACAACAACATCATCATCATAATCAGCATAATCATCATCATTGGCAGCATCATCATCACCATCATCAGCATCAACATCGGCATCAGCATCATCATAATCAACATCATCATCATCATAATCATCATCGTCATCATCATGATCCTTATCATCATCATCATCATCATCATCATCATCAGCATCATCATCATCATCATCATCATCATCATCATAACCACCCTCGTCGTCAGCCCCACCACCACCATCCGCATCCTCATCTCCCTCATCACCATAAACGGCGTCCTCAGCATAATCGATATACCTGTTATCGTCATCCTCGCCGTAATCATCGTTACCACCATCAACACGAACAACAGCATCTACATCACCACTACCGCCAGCACCACCATCATCATCGTCATCATGATCATCATCATCATCATCATCACCACCACCATCATCAGCAGCAGCATCATCGTCGTCGTCGTCGTACGTATCCCTTCTCCTCCTCATCATCATCATCATCAACATACTCCTCGTCATCATCGCCATCACCACGACAACCGCCGTCATCAACATTACCATCAGCATCAGCATCACTACCATCACCATCGTGATCAGCGTCGACACAATCATTACCCCTCCTGTGCGACAGCACGAGAGCGTTCCACGCATGGATGGGATGGCGATGCAATGGCAACTGTGATATACCACCGTGTCGTAGGCACTCAGTGGAGCGTCCTCCGATTGCTCCGAAACAATCTTGCAAATGCTGATGAGGGCCCCAGCCCAGACCCTCAATTTCCAAGACTCCTTGGCGGTCTAGGGCGCTCATGCACGCTTTCGATTCCCGACGAGACTTTCCCCGAGGACTCCGACATTCATTCGGGCGCGCCCATCAAAGGTCCTCGCGACCGAAGTCGAACTCAATCGAGCACAAACTGGGTTGTCTAACGAGGCAGCGCGGAGAGCGTCGCTTAGTAGAGGCACCCACCTTGGCCAACATCGAAATATTGATGGAAATCGCGAGGAAGGTAAAAACTCAACAACGATATCGAACCATGGACGCCTGCGGCGCGCTCCGCGCGAACCGTCTTGCTGAGAGCCCATCTGAATTTGCTCTCCATAGCGGAGACACGTTCCGAGGATGCGCAACGGTCACAATGTCAAGCACCACCAGGCAAATCTCGTGTGTGAGCAGGGTACCGCTAGTAAAGCACCGCATGCATTTCGCGACAAGGCCAGCGCTAACGAAGCGTTTGACGAAGGTGACCCAAGGCTGGAATATCACCCGTTCTGGATGTTCCCTTCTGGACGTTTTGATGGGGGACTCCGACGCGACAATGATCAGGGGCAATCTCCATTCTAGAGGAACACCTGGACAGGCCAAAAGGTTAGAACAAGAAATGCAGGCAAGCTAAAGCATCTTAAAAACCAAGCCGAAGGCAGTATGAGGGTAGGATGAAAGGCAGGCTCAGGTCAAGTACACACGCCATGCTCATAGCAACCTTGAAAGGCAACCAACAAGCAGCACAACAGCACGCCAGTGGCGACCGAAAAGCAACCAGAAGGCAATCGGAACGCAAGACCATGGAAATCTGCACGCAGACCACAAGGAAGCTCTAGGCAAACGCTATAGCTTAAAGCCCACTGCACATCGAAAAGCATGCAAGCGGGAAACTGAAGGGGACGGGGAACAACCAACGCAACGGCTGCGCCGTAATGGTCGTCAGAGGCATTCGTCCGCGCACACGGCGGCCGCGGGAAGAGCTCCTTGGGGGGCACGAAACGTGGGGCGGCATGCGCCCCAGCCCCACTGAGGCCGCAGATGAGCCCCCGTGCAGGGGCACGAAACGTGTGCCCACCCCCCCTGGGGCCGTAGGGGTAGAGCCCCCCGCATAGGGGGGCTCGAAACATGCGATTAGTTCGCCGGAGTGGGCGGTTGGCAACCTGCGTCTGGACCCGCTGGGGCCCCAGCAGGACATCCCAGGTGGAGGCACGAGGCGTCTGGGCGGCATGCCACAGCAGACATGTGGCTGTAGGTGGAGCCTTCTGTTGAGGGCACGGCACGCGTCAGGGGCGCGCCGAGTCTGGGCGCGGAGCGGCCTGCGGTCCACCCCACTCTGCCGCCGCAGGCAGGAGGCAGCCCAAGGTCTGGGCACGCCGGGGCCGCAGGAACGAGCCCCGCACAGAGGCACGCCGAGGTGCGAGGTGCGTGCCGAACCTGGGCGCGTGGCGGCATGCGGCCCACGCTCAATGGGGCCGCAGGTGGAGCTCCCTGTGGGGGGTGCGCAGCGCGCGAGGGGTGCGCCGAAAAGGGGCGTCGGGCGGCATGCGGCCCAGCCCCGCTGGGGCTGTAGATGGAACCCCCCCATAGGGGGCACGAAACGTGTCCAAGGATCTTCCGACCCGGGTCAATCCAGACCCGGGTCAGTCGGGCCTTGCGGGATCTGGGATCTGGCGAACTCCCGCAGGACCCTGCAGGATCCTGCGCCCAAGCCCGGGCCAATGCACCCCCGGCCATGCAGGATTCTGCAAGACCTGTCGCTCTGGCGCTGCCTACCTTTGCATTGACCCCCGTCTCCTGGGCCCCGACGTGTGAGAGGTGTTGGGCGCCCGAGTTATCCGGGGTAACTCGGGTCCGGGGTAACTCGGGTTTGGACTCCCGAAAAAGGAACCCGTGTTATCCCTGACCCGAGTTACCCCTGATGATTCGGGGCTCCGAAGGTGTGCCGAGCCCGGTGTGGGGCGGCACACGGCCCGGACCCACTGGGGCCGTGGGGTGGGTCTCCCTGCTGGGGCACGGCGCGTGTGACGGGCGCGCCGGACCTGGGCGTGGGGCGGCCCGCGTCTGCGCCCACTGTGGTCGCAGGGCGAGCTCCCGTGTGGGGGAAAGAGGAAAGGGTGCGAGAAGATGGTAAAGGAAGGGGAGGAGGAGGAGGAGGAGGAGGAGGAGGAGGAGGAGGAGGAGGAGGAGGAGGAGGAGGAGGAGCGGGAGGAGGAAGAGGAGGTGGAGGAGGAGAGGAGGAGGAGGAGGAGGAGGAGGAGGAGGCTGAGATGGTGGAGTGACTTCCCGAGCGCTCGCTCCCGCGGCCTGTCCAAGAGAAGGGGGAGGAGGAAAAAGAGAAGGAGGAGGGGGAGGAGGAGGGGGGAGGAGGGGGGAGCGGCGGAGGAGGAAAGAGACGCGCGGCGCTGCGGATTCAAGACGAGGACCCAACTTAACAGGGGGGGGGGAGTCAACATGGCGAAGGGCTCAACCCTACGCAGCTGCATGCAGAGCAGGGGGCTGGCCCTCCTCGCATTCCCATACGATGCGCCGCACAAACGTTTGAGGACTGGGCGCAGGGGGGGGGGGGGGCACGAAACGTGTGAACGATGTGCCGAAGTGGGCGCGGGGCGGCACACAGGCACGCCCAGTGGGGCCGCAGGTGGAGCTCCGTCCGGGAGGCACGAAAGCACGCGAGCGGTGTGCAAAAGCACTGGCGCGGGGCACGCCGTGCTGAGCCCGCCAACCGCGGCCGCATGCGGAGCCCCTCGGAGGGGCACGAGCAGCGTGAGGGGCGTGCCGAAACGGACCCGCAGGACGAGCTCCATCAGAGGGGCACGGAGCGTGAGGGGTGTGCCGACACGGGCTCCGAGGCGCCACGCGGTCGCGGCCACGAGGGCCGCAGATGGGGCTCCCCTGCGAGGCACGGCAGCGTGGAGTGCGGGTGTGCCGACGCGGGCTCGGGGACGCCGCGCGGGCGCGGCCACGGAGAGCGCAGGCGGAGCTCCCCGAGGGGCACGACGTGTGCGGGCGGGGGGGGGGGCGGGGCCGACACGGGCTCGGGGCCTCGGCGCCCAGGGCGGCCGCGGGCGGAGCTCCCTGCGAGGCCGCGGCGCGTGCGAGGGACGGTGCCGACTGACTGCGGCCGGGGACTTCTGCTCCGGGTGCCGCGGCGGCGGCCCCAGCGACGCACACTGTGCCTTGCGAGCGAAGGAGCGGACAGCATGTCGCTGCGCTCCGCGGCCTGGAGGGCTCGGAGAGGCTCGGGGTGGTGACGCTTGGGGATGGGGGCGTGGACGGCGTGTCGTGCCGAGGCGTTGTGGGCCAGAAGCTGCGGCGCGACATGCTAGGCCAGAGCTCCTGCCCGATGCTGGTGCTGATGGTGGAAAGATAACGGCGACGCTGACGATGGGTGGTAACGATGACGACGATGATGAGACGAAGGAGGAGAGAAAGGGGGGCGAGAGGTGGGCGGAGCAGAGCGCTGCGGACTCAAAACGAGGATCTAGCACTACAAGACGGTTGGGAAGATTACCCTGCGATGTAGCCTCAACTCACGTGCACCAAGTGGCCACGATAGTATGCCGAATCCCTGCCGAAGAAGGCATGAGAATGCACGCGATGTGCTGCGAAAGACAAGCGGGCGGCTCGCGCGTTGCACGACTCACGGGAGGCATTTCAGTGGCGGGGGGAGTAGGCAGGAGGAGGGGGAGAGGATGAGGCAAAAATGGCCCCAAGTGACGGCGAGGTCTCATTCGGACCTGGGCATGGCCGCATCCGCCTCTGCAATCTTGGTCGAGAGGGCCGGTCCTCCTCATCCTTCTCCAGCTCCTCCAGCCCCTCCACCT